GTTTAGTGTCAACTTCTAATTTCTTCCTCAGTTTTTCTTTCTCCAGGGTAAGTCGTTCTGCCTCAATTTGTAATTTTCGGTGTTCAATTTCGGCCTTCTGTTGTTCGATCTCTAACATCTTCTCTTCGAGTTCAAAGTTCACCTTACTTGTCCCTCGTTGTAATTTGAATTCCATTCGGTCCTTTATCATGGCCATTTTTGAGCTCAATCCTACCACGGCGTCTTCTGCTTCCAAAACTAGATTAACAAATTCATCATAATCTTTCATGACTTTATCGTGTTCTGATTTACTAGCGAGTTTTGCAGCAGCGTCAAGTTGCACGCGAAGGCTTTGATAAACAGTTAAATGCTGCTGTAGGCGGTCTCCCTTGTCACAGGTTTTGTCCAAAAGTTGCTCTAAATCGCCATCGATGGGATGTTCCTTCATTTCTGTCGCTGCTTCAAGGTTGATAAGGACATGCCTTTTCCTTGGGCCAATAAGTCTTCTTATGTCGCCTAAATCTGTCATCTTGTCGGCGGTTTCAGTTAAGAGGACAGTTCAATTCACGGCTGTTGTTGTTGATTTCGTTGATCGAGCGAATTCGTAATTTTTGTCTCTTTCTTCGTTAAGATTCTTCTCCGGTTTAAATCGGGCTTTCCTCCTCGGAAGATTAATGTTGGAGTTTCGGCAGTGGATGTAGTCGCTCTGCTACCATGTCGCGAACGCGATTTTTCTTTATTCTCAACTTAACACAACGATTTACACGGAGGATAAAATCCTCCTTCTTTTCGCACATGGTCTTAAAGGAGCGGTCACTAATTCTCGTAGAGTGGTCGCTCGGCCCTCCGCAACATGATGCGCTCTGTTCGCATAGACAGGCAGGGTGTCTCCTGTCCCTCTGTCCTTTTACTCTGTCCATGGACAAGCATAATGCCTACATTGTCCTATTAGCGCACAAAAAGAGCACAAACACATGATGCACTCTGTTCCCATAGACAGGTATGATGTTTCCTGACCCTCTAACTGTCCTTTTACTCTGTCCATTGACAAGCATAATGCCTATACTGTCCTATTAGCGCACAACGACAGCACAAACACATGATGCGCTCTGTTCACATAGACAGGCGTCATGTTTCCTGACCCTCTAACTGTCCTTTTACTCTGTCCATTGACAAGCATAATGCCTACACTGTCCTACTAGCGCACAACAATGGCACGAACACATGATGCGCTCTGTTCACATAGACAGGCGTGATGTCTCCTGACCCTCTAACTGTCCTTTTACACTGTCCATTGACAAGCATAATGCCTACACTGTCCTATTAGTGCACAACAACAGCACAAACACATGATACGCTCTGTTCACATTGACAGACGTGATGTTTCCTGACCCTCTAACTGTCCTTTTACTCTGTTCATTGACAAGCATAATGCCTACACTGTCCTATTAGCGCACAACAACAGCACAAACACGTGATGCGCTGTGTTCACATAGACAGGCGTGATGTTTCCTGTCCCTCTAACTGTCCTTTTACTCTGTCCATTGACAGGCATAATGCCTACACTGTCCTATTAGTGCACAACAATGGCACAAACACATGATGCACTCTGTTCACATAGACAGGCTTGATGTTTCCTGTCCCTCTGTCCTTTTACTCTGTCCATTGACAAGCATAATGCCTACACTGTCCTATTAGTGCACAACAATGGCACAAACACATGATGCACTCTGTTCACATAGACAGGCATGATGTTTCCTGACCCTCTACCTGTCCTTTTACACTGTCCATTGACAAGTATAATGCCTACACTGTCCTATTAGCGCACAACAACAGCACAAACACGTGATGCGCTCTGTTCACATAGACAGGCGTGATGTTTCCTGTCCCTCTAACTGTCCTTTTACTCTGTCCATTGACAGGCATAATGCCTACACTGTCCTACTAGTGCACAACAACAGCACAAACACGTGATGTGCTCTGTTCACATAGACAGGCGTGATGTTGCCTGACCCTCTAACTGTCCTTTTACTCTGTCCATTGACAGGCATAATGCCTACATTGTCCTATCAGTGCACAACAACAGCACAAACACATGATGCACTCTGTTCACATAGACAGGCATGATGTTTCCTGACCCTCTAACTGTCCTTTTACACTGTCCATTGACAAGTATAATGCCTACACTGTCCTATTGTTGCTTAAATGAGGCTGGTGTTAACCAATCACATTCAAGAAATTTTACCTTAATTTTGATTAAAAATTTAATTTCACACAGCTGTTAATCATTTTCACAATGATTGCTCAAAAGCAGGAGCAAACAAATTGGATCATAATCATCCAATCATTACCTTTTGATTGAAACCCTCTGTAACTTTGCACATGTTTCCCAAGAGTTCATCAACATGATAAACAGATGTAAAACACTTCCTCAATGATTCATCTCCTATTCCTTAGATTACAATCTCCCACACTTTTCTACTTGTATCAAACTAAGTGCCTTGCAGCAGATAGAAATTTTTCTTGTTTATTGTTTCACGGTTCATGATACTTATTACCCATGCAAACTATGTAGGGAACACTGTTTTTAAAAAGTCTTGGAGTGAGGGTGGTGTGAAGTCAAGGGTTTCAGTAACTTTTCTGTAAAAAGCTCCTGATGTTGTTAAGGTGGGTCTGCCCGGAAAAAGGAATTCTAGGCAAAACCCAAACACACAGACAGCATATGAAGAGGTAGACTGCTGGCAACTGGCTTTTACTGAAACCCCTGATGATGGTACCAGCAGGGCAGTAACAAACCATATGGCCCTGTGTATGGCCTTGTTTATGACCCTGTGTATGGCCCTGTGTATGGCCTTGTTTATGGCCCTGTGTATGGCCTTGTTTATGACCCTGTGTATGGCCCTGTGTATGGCC